TGGCTCTGATGTGAACGTGCCCAATCGTTATGTCTCAAAGTCAATCTTACAATTTTATTTTGAAACATTTATTTTCTCTTAAATGGCAAAATGGAAAATATACCAATAAAATGTACATGTATAAAAGAGGCGTACTAAAGGCTACTAGAGGTAGAAAAACCTCAACAGAAAGCTTGTGTGAGGCAGCTTGCCATGTTACAAAGGACAGACTCTTTAAAACAGAAAACCTAAATGGACAAATGGACAAATGAAGGATTGAATAATAGCAATTAAACAATTACATCCTCAACCTAACAAACTACTAATACCTATAAACAAACAAATAAACACCCCAATGGAGGAATAAGGGAAAAAAACCAACAAACAACTAAACAAGAAATAAGAGAGAGAAACAAACAGGTTGTCAGATTTCAAACTGTCCACTTTCTTCCAAGAGTAAACATTCTAATAATGGAACGTGACATGTCTCCATAAACATTTCAAAAATGTGTTCAGCAGGCACACCATTCCCAGAAGGAATATAAATGTAATGACTAATCCAGACAACTTTAACAAATCCACTATTAAGAGAGGGAAACCTTTATCAAATCTACTTTTAGGGCCAAAAAAATGGGATCCCTTCAATTTTTATGACTAGTCGGCCTGGCCCCTCAGGCTAACTCACCAAGCAGCTGTGAAGTCCCTGAAACCGACTCCACCCCTTATTGAATTTGTCAAGTCTAATTTCACTCATAACTCTTGTAAATTAAGACACTGAAAAGAGATTAAGGGTCTGGAGGTTTAGCTTGGGTCAAGTCCAGTGATACTACTCCACACATGTTCCAGGCTGTCCTCTCTATATCTGTGAAGTCCATAACTGAAATACTGCTGTGTGGGAATAAATCAGAAAATCCCAGCGGCTTGGATTCAAATTGACTTTCTGAGGAAGTACAAAATTGGTTGATAGAATTAACATGCTTTCTGAAGCCATAAACAACATTTTGCGCCTCTTTAAATGGACATGTGTGTCACTTCAGGATAATAGGAAACCAGCCTGTGTGATAAATGTCAAATCTGTGCAATCAAACATTTAGAATCTGCATGTTCACTTGCCAAAGTGAAGCTTTGGTGAAATATTTACAACAAAAACACATTTTCAACTATAACACATTAATAAATATAATAATATTAAAGGGAAAATACAACATTTGCAAACATCAAAAAATAAAACTACCAAATCATTTTGAAATACCTTGCTGGACTGTTAGTGAATGACAGTGTAAAGCATCCTGTAAAATCATGACACCTGGTATAATGTCATTTTCAAGAAAAGCCGTAATTTTGTATCAATTTCCAATGCTGGTCGGCCGACCAGCGTTGGAAAAAACTGGCTTTTTTTCAAATACTGGCCCCAATTGACCATCGCACTTGTTTGCAATCGATTACACACCTATGAACGGGTACAAGCCAGCTAGACTGGTTCCCTGACCTTACAATTCCCCAATGTTTGTAAACTGCTCTGTTTCTTCTTATATGGAGTCAGGGAACCAGACAACAGGAAAATGATTATTTTCTTGGTTTTTATAGCATTTTCAAACCCAAAACCTCATAAAAGTCAGTGTAACTATATTTGCTACATATTTCCAACCCCCCAATTCCATCCATTTCTGAAAATTACAGCAAAAGCAAATGATGTATATTCCCTTTAATGTGCTTATAAAGTACTTTATACAAAAAGGCTTTACAATTATTACCCCGTTCATCAGGTCATGAGCTCTAGCGCATTCTAGTCTCTACCTTCACAGGTATCCATTTATACACCTAGGTGGAGAGAGGCAATTGTAGCAAAGTGTCTTGCCCAAGAACACAAGCACCATGTTCCGTGGTTCAAATCCACGTACCACGGCACATGAGTAGAACACCGTAACTCTAAATTTTACATCTAAACATACCTCAGCCTCAGCCTCTTAAAAATGGTGTCAAAAAAGCCCCATCAAAACAAGAAACCATTGTAAATCCCCAAAAAACCCCAAACCAAAAAAAAATTACCCCTAAAATAGTGAATTTAAGGGGAGAACTTTTGGAGTTGCAAGACTTTGTAAGAGATTCTGAATCAGGAACTGAAATGATGCAGCCTGTTTAGCGAATTTGAAGCAAGGCAAGTGAATGAACCAGGAAACTATTGTGATTGATACGTTAGAGCAGCTCAATAAGAGATGATAGATTGAATCAACCTAAAATAGTCCTTACAAAGCAATCCAGCTTTTTTGCCAAACTCCTTTGCCCTTTCTTGACCTGCGGTTGAGCCACAGCTGTAACAAGGTTCCACTCCTAGCAACAATTGGCTGTCTCCCCTAATTTCCCCTAACAAGACAAGATCAAGGCTGCTTACAGCCATGTCTTGCGTTGGGGACACAGGCAGGCGCAACAAGAGAGGCAGTCCTCCCCCCCCAAAAAAAAAAAAAAAAACAAGATTGGAAACATGCAATTTCACTGCAAGTATAGCAACTGGCAACTCACAAATGCAAAGATATTTACAAATTTACAAGACTTTCTGTAGAGACTTTTAATTTTTACTTTTATTAATGAGAAAGTCAGCTGATGGATGGAAAAACTTGAATGCCTTCATATACCATAATTATGTCTGCTTTTACCAATTTTGAAAATCTTGCACCTTCAGTGTTTCTGATAGCTGCACACTGTCCACTATTCCAAGACCACTGCTAAGGAAAATGTTATGCCCTCTGGGCAAAAATGTATTCCTACAACCGCACTCATACATATCCTGGTGTTTTATGTATTCACCAAAGAAACCATGCAAGGTACAAATAGTTCATGTATTCTTTCTAGGTTCCACGATTAACAATAGATAGTCTTATTGTAAGCAAGCCCTAGGGACTTACAAAAGTTACATGCTGAACATGTAGTGATTCCCATCTCACTTAAAATGTGAGCAAGTCGATATGATTAATATCTAATACTTTCCATTATGGGTCGTTCCACCGGGTTGGGAAGCAGTGCATGTTAAATCCATATATTTGGTTATATTATTAAAAGTATCAATGCATTCTAAACAATTGCTCAACATAATATTTGTCTTAAGGTGTTTCAATATTTGAGAAAGTTTGAAATCATTTGAAAGTACTTTGACAAAAATATGAGCAAAAATGTATTAATTCGGACGTAACATTGACACCGTGTCAATGTTACATCGAAATATTCTTTTTTTGCCATTTTTTACACATATGTAAAATATTACCCAAACTGACATTGCATATTTACAACTGGACACCTAAGCACCAAGAAAAGCTTTTGTTTTGGTATAGTCTGGGTTCAAATATAGCAGAAACAATACCTCAAGTGTGGATATAACGGTGTAAAAATCACTCAATGGAAGTGTGACATTGGGTTTTACACCGTGTCAACGTTACATCCACACAACCAAGCTATCATTTTTGCTCCATTTGATACCTGACTACCGTAACAAAAGCTTTTCGTACTGTGTTGCATGTTTAGTAAGAAGTACGCAAAGTGAATTTGGGTGATGTTTCGCAGAAATTTAAAAAAAAAAATACAAATGTCACATTTGGATGTAACACTGAGACGGTGTCAATGTGACATCCAAAATGACATTTTTTGCTCATATTTTTGGCAAAATACATTGAAATCATATCAAACTTTCTGCAGTCGTGAAACACCCAACAATAAATATTATGTAGAGCAACTGCTAGCAAGGCAGTCGTGCTTTTCTTTATATGGTCATATGTCACACATTGTTCCCCATCCCGGTGGAATGACCCTTATCCAACAGTGTATTTTTATCACACACTATCTTTTGTGCATAACCCCCAGCTATTATACTACATGTCTTACCCATTTCTGACATCCATGTAAACCAATCATACTAGCACATCACTATACAGTTGACACAGTTCAGTGTTTCATCAGTGAAGATGTCTGCACAAGCGACTAGGCATGTTTGTGGCATCACTGCTGTGGTTCGATTGCGATTCTTGATTATTTGTGTGTCCAGGGTTCAAGTCCCACTGCTGGCTGCATGCATCATGTCCTTAGGGAATGCATTCTACCCCAACTTGCTTCTTTTCATACATACTGAGTCTTAAAGGCATATAGGATACTTTTCTTTTCATGCATTTTGTTCATTTCTACTAACACCACCACAAAACCTATCAAAGTTTAAACTCAGTGGAAACGGCACTTTTCCCTCTAGTTCATGATGTCATAGAAGTGGATATGATAAGTCCTTGTTGGCAAGTCTTACAGTGTGCTTTTCCAAGTCTACGGCATCACCTTCAATTCCAGACACTCCACTTGGAATCATTGCTCCTTGGGATGATTTCTGGATGAGGACTGTCTTAAGACTGTCTTGATGAGCTGTGCTTGTCAAATTCTACGGCATCACCTTCAATTCCAGACACTCCGCTTGTGATGGGGGTTGGAAATTGCTCCTTGGGATGGTTACTGGATGAGGACCGTCTTGACAATGGAGACCCTCATCAGTAGGCTGTACTCGCATCTGATCTACTGGAACTGGTACTGATTGGGCGACTTGATTATATAGTCCTTGACGGCAAGTCTTAGTGTGCTTTTCCAATTCTACGGCATCTCTTTCAATTCCAGACATTCCACTTGTGATAGGGGTTGGGAATCATTGCTCCTTGGGATGGTTACTGGATGAGGACCGTCTTGAGACTGGCGACCCTCATCAGCAGGCTGTACTCGCATCTGATCTACTGGAACTAGTTCTGATTGGGTGACTTGTCGGTCACAGCAAGAGTGGGTCAGTGCTTGGATGACTGCTGATCGATACTCCGAATTGGTCACGCTGTAAACGACAGGGTCTACACAGCTGTTGATCAACTCCAAGATTCTTCTGCACGTTTCAACATCGAGTAGATCATGGGCAATTTTGGAAAATGTACACACATCTGAAGTTTTTAAAATGATCACTACCATTATGGAGCAGGTGATTCTAATTGAATTCAAAAGAAAGAAAACTGCACTATTGATGATGAGCATACAGGCCACCTTACCAAGTCGCTGTGGGCGGTTCTGTGTTGCGAGGGATTTGTGTCGTAGTTTCAGCAAGATGCAGATGTACAAAGTAGCAGTCACTGCTAAAGCAGCTATGCTAACTGATGCAAGTATCACCACATGAACGATTTCTGGGATAAGCACATCTGGAGCAAACTGGGTTTCAAATGAAAATATAATGATCAGTCCAACACCTACTGCAAGCACCCAAAGTCCTGCTGAAATTTTGGCAGCTCGGCATTTGCTGGCCGTTGCCCTGAACTTTATAGGAAACCACACAGCTGAGAATCTTTCCACTGCTATGACTGTTACTAACATAAAGGACACAACTTGAAAGGCAACAAACAATCCACCCAGTACAACGTTAACATCAGGGCCATCGTTACTCCAACCGCCCCACGAAATCACCAATGACAAAAGAAGAAGAAATGTGTCGCTTGCTGCCAGATTACACAAATAGACATTGATGATTGTCTGCATGGACTTCACTCGAGCAACAACTAAGAGGAAGACTATGTTCAAAAGAAGGCCGACTGGTGCGATTATTTTAACAGTTAGATGAACTCTGTTGTGATATTTCTGTTTATGTGTTTCATAATCTTCAACAAACTGCTCAAAGTTGAATCCACACAAATCTTCAATACTGTGATTGTAAGTCATTTCTACAAGGATGGTCCCCACTCAACCTAATAGTCAAAATCTGCAGCAACTCACAAATATATAATACCCGTGATGTGTAAACAATACTAGCAAATGCAACAAAACAAAAGCAGAACTTCAATGTGTTTTACTTGTGTTCAAAAACCAGACAACTCAAGGAATTTATTTGTCAAGCATTTCTTGAACAAAGTGACAAAACTGAAACATCAGAAATGATTGCGTCACTTCAAGTACAAATGTAATATCTTTCACTCTCAGAAATGAGTAATGCTTGTATCTTAAAACCGTAGGAACAAACTGCTATATGTGGAAATCAATGGCCTTACAAACAGATAGAGAGTGTGTGCTATCAATTACATGTGTCTCCATGCAAATAAGTTCAAATCAAGCCAAACTAATAAAACGGGGCCTAATTTCATGGAATCCGTAACGCCGAATTTTGTGCTAACGGCCCGCATTTTTGTGCTGACCAAGCTAGCACAAAAATTCTGCACTAACCTTGTGAGCACAGAATCCTTAGTTACAGGAAGTACGCATGCGCAAAAGCCAAAATTACTTGCTAACCCGTGAAATACGCTAACCGTTAGTGCGGAATTTTCCGCTATATAGCGGCGATTTCTCGCTAACCGTTACGGGTTCCATGAAATTTGGCCCTGGTCTGCACTGTAAGTGTCAAAACAAAGCTTTGCTTCTATCTAAGATTTCTTTTTCAAATGTGACTCTTCCAACCACTTTGAGAAATGAATGTTGGAATATGTACACACAGTGCCCTACAGTATACATTCAGATTGATTGTCGTGATATAATTTAGAATGTTTAGACTGTAATATAAATCTAAACAAATTAATGTGGCCTGACGTTGCAAACTTTAATAATTTCTTCTTCAGAGGCAAAATGACAGAGGTACATAGAACAAACATAGGGACTGTCATGTATTTTGTATTTAAAGTTGTGTGTTTTAATAATTTTACATTTGATTATTTGAACATGGACTTGAAATTTCACATGTGGTTCAAGAATTGCATATATGCTGGTAGTGGTAGGAGCTGCATGCGCAAAGTTGATTGAAGTTTGCAGTAATGCATACAAAATGGCAGTGCGCACACTTGTCGTAACCACGGTTAGTTTCAACCTCTGCACCTCCATTAGATATGTGCTGGGTAATATTCATTAATTAACGATAGGGAAGATCATTTGTCACTTGAGCATTTTTGTTTTGAAAAAAAAAATAGAAAGTGCTTAGAATCTAAAGACGAGTTTTTGCTCAGAGAATGCTGTACATTCAGATAAACAATATTCTAGGATCTCGATCTCAATTTTAAAGTTGCCAAGTCACGTTCTCATTCAGTCTATTGCAGCTATGCGACGTCACACAACTGCGTGCACGTGTGTGTCGTGTCAACGCTTGTGTGCACCTATGAATTCCAAACCAACTACTAGCGGAAATTTTCCGAAAATGCGTCACATGCTGCATCTTCGGAAATGGCCTTCTTTTGTAGTTTTCTTCAAAATGACAGCATGCCAGAAAGAATAATTTCACAGGGAGTTTAGGGCCATCCACATCTTTAAACCAAGTAAGATTTTTCAACAGTAATTTGGTCAGTTACTTTTTGGACAGCTGCAAATGATCTACTCTTCCTTTACAGCCCTTTCCTAATACTACTGTTGGGCATATCATGTTGTCCCTGACATATTCAAATCTGTGAATCAGTACTTGCAAGTTCATTTTACTAACAGGCCAATTTAATTCTATTCTCATAAAATAAATTTAGGACTACAGAGACAACCCTCTCTCATGATGCACTTCTCCAACCCACTACAACCCTAATCCCCATCCCCCCCCCCAAAAAAATCATTCCCACCAGTTTTTTGTTCACTTCACAAGGTAGGTCACATATTTGGACTGGTATCATTTAGACTTGATACATGCAGGTATGTGTGTAAATATGTGCCATGGTAATCAGAGAAGGGGGAAATAGAAATGCACATTATTGAATGAGACCAGCCAATAATGGCTGAATTACATGAAGTTGAATGAAAATTTAACATTTTGTTTTCAATCAAAATAAGTTGCTTCAGAAATGCCTTGAATGCCCGCGTGTATACAGTCTCCATTCTTTCACCTTATTAAAAAGAACTTCATCAAGTTTCCTAGTTCCCAAAAGAAATGAAACTGAATATTGAAATCAATCAGATTACAGACCGATAATCTCATTTCCGCCTTTCGGAAAGAGAAAACCTCGAGGTGGAAAACAAAACTGGAATGCATCTGGTCTTTCATTGCGTTGATAATGGAGATTGCGAGCTAAAACAAATCTAGACATCATGAAAGGCACCGGCTTGAACTGCATCAATTTGTAGGTCATTGTTGAGAGCTGGAGGGCTGAAAGGCTGGGTGGGGGAGGGGGGGGGGGATGGGCACAGTCGGTCAATTGGAATCACTATTCCAGTACTGCAGTAGCAAGGAATCCCATACTGCGTAATATTTCCTGAAGGCATTTCGGTGAAAGATTCTACCTTCTCGGAGAGCAGTGAGCCGTGACTTGGGTACGGTACGAATTAACTCAAGTTGAGCAGGAAACATGGGAAGTTTACAGTGGCCACTGTGCTAATTCAATCTATCACCTCTTTGTGTATTAGTCATATTTGTCACCTAAAGCTCGTACACTACGCAAGTCTACTGTCTGGGTGTAAGTCAACTTAAAAAAAATATTCGCACATGTTCCAATTCTGAAAAGTAACTTGAACACTTTCAAAATAGTACACTGTCCCATATTAATTTAAAAAAAATGATATTATCTTTAACAAAATGATAAAATGGCTCAATCACACACATTCCAAAGACTTTATGCAACAAATCTTTCTGGTATTAGTTCTAGACATGTCTGGTGTGTAATTCCCTGGACTTTTAAATGAGGATATATGCAACTAATAAAACCTGAAGCCTCCGACTCCAAGTGTTAGTTAGGACTAAGGCTTCCAAAAGTCTCCTGACTAAATTCTCTGCATCAATATTATTTATTTAATATTGGATGGCTTTGAGTCCAAGACAAGCGTAATACTGTTATAGCCATCTAATAATGTTATGCCTCTAATATTTTTTTAAAAGGCACTCTATATTATTATAATTATTTATAACAGGCTGAATTGATCTGCGAGAAATAAATTTCAGGACAAATAATCTTCGCTTACCGTAGCAAAATTTGCGCCGCTCAAGGCTGCTTTTGTGGTTGATGACAACAGTGCGCGTATACCCCGCTGCACACTGCGTCCGCGTGTGACGGTACCGTGCGCTACGCTCTGCTGACTGGTTAACAACTGTGAGTTTCTACGCTCTGGGTTGTGCGGGAACCAGCCAAATTTGTTAAAGTGCCCAGATGAGGACAATATCAACAATAATATTTTCCTCATCCAGGTTATACTGACATAATATTGCAGTCATCCCGGTACTTTTTACAAAAGCATACAATACACTGATTTAAATTTTACCACTTGAAGAAACTCATAGAATTCTGATTTCACCTAACAAGTGAAACCGTTAATTTGTTCCCATTACTTTTCTCATGCGAATGGCAGATGGACCAATGCCCCCAAAAGATCTCAACCCATATACATTTGTACATAGGCCTTTTCCATAGTGAGCCCCTCACTATAGGATAGCTTTTGTTACTTACATGTAAATTCAGTGAGAATGAAAGTACAATGTGTCTATTCATATATTTATTACAGCGGAAAGACCTTTCAATCGGAAGTGATGTCAGACGTCTATTTCCACTGGGAAAATACCAATATTCATAAATCTCATGGCCTCAGACTTTACAGCCAGAAAATAAAGCTACATTTTTTTGTAATGCATGTTATAAAGGCAGTAATGAAACTTGTTAACAGCAAAAACCCTGTTAAATCCCACAGGACAAACTAGTAGACAGTGCAAATGTACATTTCATTTCCCAGGACCAAAAAAAAACCATAAAAGAAAGAAGAAAACGCATTGGAGAATTCCAAGATTCCACTGTGTTTATGTAGCTTTATCTGGACAAATCCATGCTCAGAACAACAATGGTCTTGGGGAAGCCTCTTAAGACCTTTCCCTGTCAGACTGAGCGAGGGGAACTTGCTGACTCCTGCCTGGATTAGGCCGGTTCCCCCATGCAGAGTACCGATCAAATAACAGGGGGGGGGGGGGAGGGGGGGCTAGACCTACCTGTTGGTGAGGGCAAGGTATGCCTGTTTCCTTTCATCAGTCTACAGGTGCTGTTGTCCCCATTACAAACACCACACCTGTCCAGCATCGCTGTGGAATTGAGCTGGTGGTCGCATCCAACAGGCTGCAGGAAAAGATTCAAGATTGAATAAAAAGTCTTTCACGATTTGTATTTAGCATTCTAGCAATATCGTGCACCTTCTCAAGATGGAAACTACCCCTTGAAAGCAACAAATACTCCTCTCGCAATAATATTATTGTGCTCCTCTCCAGATGGAAAATTGGCCATCAAAAACAATAGTGCTGCTCCCGCGATAACTTCTTGAGATGGAAAACTGCCCCTCGAAAGTACAGTACAATAAGTGCCCTGCTCGCAACATTAATATTGTGCCCCCTCTCAAGATGGCCCCTAAAAAATAAAAGTGCTCTTCACGTGAATAAAATGGTCACTGAACTGGCCATCAAAAGCAACAGTGCCCCTCTCGCTATAAAAAAATGGTCTCCCTACATAATTAGGTAAAAGAAACACAAAGAGCATGACGGACAGCGTATTCATAATTTGTTCCTTGTCATATTTAGGTTTATAGCAAAATTAACAGGACCATATTCTTTTCCTCCACTTTCACACCGACGGAAGGTGCCCCTTTTTCTGAGCAAGTGCCCCTTTTTTGGGTAGCGCCCTCCTCCCCCAGTTTGAAAGCATCCCGCCGACCTTGATTTCACACAACGTTTACATTGCAATAGGATAATCATTAGTAGCATGGTCAGTAATTACTGTACCTTTTTTTCTACTATCTAAATGAATATAAATAAATGGATTTTACAAGGGTGAAATGAAATAAGAATTTAACAATTTCCAATGAAGTATGAACAATGATACATTAACCTTTGGAAAATGATTCCAGTAATTGCACAATCATTTAGCACTTTTATAAGTGCACCATTAACCTTGGATTTACTTTTATTTCCAGGCAATATTTTCTTCTTTTCATTTGTAAACTTTCAACACATCACAGACCACACAATCTCCCAACAATCCTGGGGCCCCAAGTGATTGTTAGGTACAAAGTATTTCAACAACTTTTTGAGAATAGTAACAAAACAGTATAAAGTGCCTCAATCCTGCAGTGGGGACAAATTTCCAGTGTTCTTTTGTGGGTTTTTTTCCCCAACAGCGCTGGTCATTATAAATGACCAACTACTTCAAATTTGTGCAGCGAAATGCCCCAGGCTGCTTGATCCAAAGACCCAAGTGCTCAAATCTGTTTTCATTTGCCGAGAATTCAAACTATCGCGTGACAATCCAATTCAGCGGTTTTGGCAGCAGCCTGAGGGACAGGTAGTCATGGATAAACATTGGTCTCTCTGAGGTCTGCCGAGGTGGGCTCCTCGGGTCCCCTAATGGAACGTGAAATTGAGGGGAACGTGTGTTGGGGCCCCTGAATGGCAACCCTTTGCATCCTCTATGAATGGGATTAATTCTGGTGATAAACAAAATGTTGGCCCTGGTTACAGGGAAAGAAAGGCAAAGAACGAGGGAAATTAACATTGCAGAATGCAGTTCTTCATACTGGCAGCGCATCTTTGAGCTAGGTATATGACGTATTTCTCCCTCTACGTCTTTGACCACAGTCTATCTTCGACCACTAAACTCAATGTACAACTCCACGTACAGGCAATGCAAACTTTGCGGCAAAACTACAGTTCTGAAACTCTTTCATATGCTCAGCTGACGAAAGGGCCTGTATGTAGTTGCCTGATTTGGCAATGTATATGGTACACTTGGCTGCATGTGAGAGCATATTGTACAAACCAGCAGATTTTAATTAACTATCAGGGGCGGCGGAACTGGGGGGGGGGGGGCTGGGGGCACTCCCCCCCCCCATATTTACCCCTTTTGCGGACATAAATGTGCCCCCTCGAGCATAGACGTGCCCCCTCGAGACGAAAACAAAACTGGGCCTAAAATTTTGGATAATTTGTTTTCAGTAACCATTTCCCATAATGGTATAGAGTTCTGATATGAACGAGGAATATGAATACCAAGTCCCAAAAGCCTTACAATGCACCCTGCATAATGGCCAGTTTTGAAGAGCGCCCTCTATTTTGGAAAATGGTATCAGCCCCCCCCCCCCATTTGATTTTATGGAGGCCAGGTGTCCAGTGATGGCCCCCCCCCCAGTTTGCCGCTGTTACGTGTCACACCCATGTAACCTTCAGCAAGACAATTCACCAAAACTATGACACTACAGCTGCACTCGCTTTTTGGAAATGCGTGTGATCTATGCTTTATCTTAAAGGGAAAATACAACATTTGCAAACATCAAAAAATAAAACTACCAAATCATTTTGAAATACCTTGCTGGACTGTTAGTGAATGACAGTGTAAAGCATCCTGTAAAATCATGGCACCTGGTATACTGTCATTTTCAAGAAAAGTGCTATCTTTGTATCAATTTCCAACGCTGATCGGCCGATCAGCGTTGGAAAAAACTGGCTTTTTTTCAAATACTGGCCCCAATTGACCATCGCACTTGTTTTCAATCGATTACACACCTATAAACGGGTACAAGCCAGCTAGACTGGTTCCCTGACCTTACAATTCCCCAATGTATGTAAACTGCTCTGTTTCTTCTTATATGGAGTCAGGGAACCAGACTACAGGAAAAGGATTGTTTTCTTGGTTTTTATAGCATTTTCGAACCCAAAACCTCAAAAAAGTCAGTGTAACAATATTTGCTATATATTTCCAACCCCCCAATTCCATCCATTTTTGAAAATTACAGCAAAAGCAAATGATGTATATTCCCTTTAAGTTCATGCATTAATCCCTGTATCATCTAATGAGGGAATAATTTTTGAAAAAAAGTTTAATGGGTTAAAGATGGCTTATAGGTTACAGATGGGACGAAATGTTAAAAATAAATAAAACTGAACAAAGCGAGTCTAAGTTGCAAGGGCTATACTTTTCAGGTAAAAACTCACATTTTTTAGGGAAACTAAATCAGAACAGCTCAAACATGACATTTATTGTCCTTATAGAGTCACGTTGTTGGATCCAAACTACGTTTTGTGAGCCGATATGTTTTAATTCTGAGACAAGGACTGTAAAGCTGAGACAAGGACTGTAAAGCTGAGCCAAGCTTTACAACACTTTTAATAGCCACCAAAAACATAACCAACAATGTGTTTGGTTACCCCTCTGCACCGAAGCCCGGGTGTACTGTATCTATATGCACCCAGTTCAGACACATCCGCATCCAGTCAAGATGTAAGCGTTGCCCCTGAAAACCCCACAGAGACACTGCAGGGGTGTGAAAGGCATGTTTGATCCCAACACATAGCCCTGATGCTAAGGCGGGATTATCCCCCAACAAAAGCTGTCAAAACAGTGGGACACTGCTAACCACAACAATCGGAGAGAGAAAAAGGTTGCTTGCTCTTGTCAAGCCAGAACAGGCAGTACAGGCCGAGTTGAGATGAGGGGCCAATTGCATGCTCAGCTTAATAGTTAAAGGTATAGGCCTAGTCCATCATTTGTAATTTTGTGCATTTTGTTCGTTTAAAGCAACAAACATGCTCAAAATCTAAAGAAGGGTGCTAAACAGCTAACCAGATGAGGTTTCAGCTCAGCTTCAGCTGTGTATTTCGACAAAAACAGCATTGTAGGATTTCGATTTTAAATGGAAAGTTGCTGAATCATGTTATGAATTGGGCCTGAATTCAGCGTCCGAGACACGTTCTCACTGAGGCGATTGCAGCTACGCAATGTCGATTGCGCACTGATCCGACAAATTATAGCAACTGCGTACGCGTGTGCGTCATGTCAACACTTGCTTAAGACGCAAAGTTGGAAAGGCCTTCTTTCGTTGATTTCTTCAAAATGGCAGCTTGCCAGAAGAAATAACTTCACAAGGAGTTTAGTCCCCTTACTATCTTTCAACCAAGTATGCTTTTCAACAATAATTACGTCAGTTACTTTTTGGATAGCTGCAAATGATGGACTGTACATGTAGCTTTGAAGAAAAGTTGTGCTTATACCAGAAAATTGTGCTAACCTATATCATAAGCACTATTTCATGGCGTGGATGTGCTAATGGTTGCATGGAGATGTCAGTGTTACATCACTGATTTAAGCAACTATTTGTCTGAGGTAAATGTGCCTTTTGCTGTGCTTTCTGATGTCTTCATCAATAGATGGAGGCTCTAGCAGAAAATTGTTAGCTTAACAGCCCATGAGATTAAGCCCAGTTAGTGCAAAGAGAAAACGTTTTGGTCATAACCACAGGGAAAGGAGATGATACCTCACTCTATCAGTTCACCAAAAAATAAATAAGAACAACAAGAAGAAGAATAAAACAGTATAAAGCCCTATTTGATTCAAGTATTAACATTTCTTTCTCCTAAATCAAGTTCTGCAGTAGTGCAATCAGCCCACTTACTTTCATTCCACTCAGAATAAGCTGGCAGCATTCTTTGAATGAATTTCAACAATTTAATGTGCTTGTAGACATAAAAATAAAATATTGTTCAAAGTCATAACCACCTGCTCATAAATATGATTTATCAAGACAGAACTGAACATGCCACACAACCAAAATTTCTTCACCTTGACTTTTGTCAAAGAAAAAAAATGGTTCATAGGTTAAATCCCAGTCCAGGCGCATCGTCAGATTATGGTCTGAACTTGGCGGGGCGACTTGGGAAATGTTAGAAATATGTTTGTACCTATCAGAGATATTTGTGATTTACGTGCAGGAAATGAGACAGGCCTGGAGAGGTACAACTCATGAATTCGGCTCAATTCCCGAGAGAGTCTGGCATTAAAATCCATGTTTAAAAAATGAATTGAAAAGGAGCCACTGCAGAAAAGATGAACCTACAAAACAACAGAAGCATGCAGACAATCCGGACTTCATAGGAAAATAGGGACTGACAAACTCTGGGCATGGGGGTGCATGAGAACATAAAGCTATAGGACCCATGGTGAGAACAATTTGCCATCAAGCCATCCGAGCTGGAAGGTAGGCTGGATATTTTTTTCCTGGTCACCTGGCTGCCACAAAATAAAAAGTAGGGGGAGGGGGAGGGGAAGGGGGGGGGGGGGGGGGGGGGAGGGGGAGGGCTGGACACCATCTGACTTTTGGAGGCACTGTTCAAAACTGGACAGTCGTGGGCACTATTGGACAATAGGTTGCACTATTGATCGCAGCATGTTTGCTGACAGAACAATGATTTTTAGTAAGCTTGCATTTTTTTGCAAGCTGTCAGATAACTCTGAGCACACACTGCATAAAAATTGAAGTGATAGAGGGTAGAACCCAATATTTACAAGAGGTCTCCTTCTCCACAGAAAATAATAACAACAAATTATCCAAACGATAGAATTCATTATCGCAAGGAAAAAAGTAACCACCCAGAGGTTTTCAGGTGGTGCAGAAATACAAGAAAAGATTTCAGACAATGGAGTATTATAAGCAGGTACAACCAATACATTCTGTGATGTAATGTTTATTTTCCCCTGGGGAGAGGACGGGCTTGTTAGGCCTCAATTAAATCTTTCGAAGACCCCAGCTTGGAACTTGCACTTGTCGTTGGGGTTAATCCGAGTATCGGTTTTCCCTTTTGGTGTGCCAGGACCACCATTTGTTGGCGTTCAATGCAGCGCCGCGAGGGGTTTGGACTTTATGTCTAATATGCATGGTGTGATCGATCATAGAGCAATGACGGGAATGGTCTTTTTCACAGCCATTAATGCGTCTTTATGGGGAAGCACTGAAGATTTGAAGGCCCCCCTGGGCTTGACTAACAAACTCATTGTATTCATATGAGGATGTAAATTGTAACACTTCATGTTTACTGGAGATCTTACGGGCCATAAAATTATTCATGAACTGTTTCATGTACTTCACATGTGTAATTGACAAAAGACTATTAGCAATGTTTCAAAATTTAATGAGATTCCCATTAGTACTCCAAGCCTTTAGTCTGCTCTTATAACACCCCCTCCCCCCTTAACAGTACCCAAATTTTTGTTATCTGCATTAATGAGCACAATAGTTCACACTGCATGCATCCCTTCTATTTGAGGGAATGAAATTCGCCCTTTTTGCATTAACCAGTTTGTGACGGATTATTTTGATCGGTGGGATTGTTTTCACGAACCTCGATGCCAGACGGGTTCAGGCCATCATCTGCGGGTAGCACACCCTAATATTTCTGGCCTCGCTCACTGCAAGCGGGTTGCAGACAATTCATGCCTTGCTCGTTGCATGTTTATCTGTCACCGTTCCGAATACCGCACAATATTTGCATGTATACGTCATGACATGAACTGTACGTTTGATCACTCTCAATCAGCATTACAACTATTTGATGAATTGATTGTACACAATTTTGCACGAGCTTCAGGAAAACAGATCTGTCAAAACCCTGCTTGAATTTTTGGATTGAAAAGGGTGACTTATGCCTGACCTGCCTGTCAAAATATTAATATGACTAGAAGGGGGTCTAAGCTGGAAGCACTTACTTTATCCATCAACACCATTTCTTAAACATGTTTGACATTGGTCCCTGTTTGGGTTAGAATAAATAAACCACTAAATGTCTTTGAATGTCTAGTGCACACATTCAATGCCTTCAACACGTTTTATTCTTCTAGGCTCATAGTGGTATTCATGACTAATACTGAGAGAAAGACGGGATCATTTGGAGGCTCATATTTTGTAGTTTGACCACCTTGGGACCTTTGAACACACCCGGTTTCCCCTTGAAATATTCAACATATTTGGGCAAAGTCAATGAGCTGGCACCTGATGACAGACTGCCTAGGTGCGAGGCCTCCTTAGACCCTAAGGAGAATTGCACTCATATCCCTTTCAAAAAATTGCCAGCTTTGTTTTTTCAGAAGTGAAGGTGTTCTGGCGTTTCAGGGAACATGAGCTCCAAACTAAAAGGCAATCTTCAAAAATCAATCAGAGACAGAAATACCAAATTCTGATTTTAAACAACCTGTTGTTAATCAGTTTGTGGATAAGCTCAAACAGCTTTGATCCGGGACAAAATGTCTGAAATTGAACAATAATCGCCATTGTTCACAAGTTCATACAAACATGTACCACAGTACATTTTTTATTTTCTCAAAATCAGACCAAGAAATGGAGCAACACCAGGACAGTTACTGAGAACTGTTATGGAAGAAGCATCTTGAAACCCTCATTTGTCAAACACTGCGGGAGCAGGCAAATAAGTCAAAGTAAAGTTATACCCGTTTTAGACAGGTGTTACATAATAACTCCCAACCATATCATTTTTCAGATTTGTACAGTTAGGAGCCATTATAGGTTGGCGTAGCGGTACTTTCCTTACCTTCCACCGCTGTGACCCGGGTTCGAATCCCAGGCCGGGCCAATATGTGGATTGGGTTTTCAGTCCCTGCCTGATTCCGTGGGTTTTCCCCAGAATATTCCTCTGGGCTTTTCCCTCCCACCTCTAAAACTGTAATTTCTTCTCATTCACTTCCCTCTACAGGTTTCTTCAGGTTTTCGAGCTTACAGTGCTTCGGGCACTATTTGGGGAATCCTTGGTTTCAGTACCAGAAGTCCACAGTCTAGCCAACACCAAGTTAAACTTTCCCTGTTGGAGATCAAAATCTTTTGGGGATGGTTTGGTGCAACTCTGCAACACTGGTTTGCAACGGGTGCAAGTGTAATCAATTCAGACTAAATCAACTTACCTCACAGCGTCCTAGGATGCACATATCAATGGAGTCTGCTGCGCATGTGGTGCCATCCAACACCTTAGGAGACAGGACTTTGGTCATATCCGTCCCCCTGGCTCGGCAGGTCAGCGTACACCGCTGGTCAAGGGGCAAGTCCTCCACGGGAATCCAATCGTACATCTTGCCGTCTGTGTGGCTCTCATTGTTAGAGAGAGCACACTGCAGCACACGGAAATCTGGGGTACCAGGAGGGCAGTCCTGGTTGGGAAAAAAAAATTGTCACAATTTTGTCTGTTGGTTACCCGAGTAACGAAAATGAAAATCACAGCGGCTTATTACTTAGTCCGACGATCAGACATTCAAGTGTGCAGAGCTACTGTACGAACGTCTGATATATCGTAGCATGCACATTTTATGCAACCCTGTGCGCCATCCAATCAGAGTTGACTTTAGAATCTTCGACGTCATTTTGATCAGAAATGTGGATTAATTAAGCTGTTGATTGGTCAATTTGGATGCCATGATTTTGTAATACAACAATGGGTTACAGGATACTTGATAGAAGGTGCCTGCTGAATCGTCACAATCTGGATGTCAAGATACAGTCTTGTTTTGCATAATTTATCGCCGAATCTGTGCGAATATCTCAGATGCTTTTCTGCAAGCAGCTATTTCATAAACCGCTTAATACCAGGCCCCTTAGTATCAATAATTTACTTTGAATAATTTAATATTTGTGATTAATGATACACTAATGTTTTAAGCCGCATTTAATAAAAAACTGAAAGTGAGGCTTGGAAAGCATAAGTTGTCTGGCACCATTCAATCAATTAAATGTCTCACAAGGCCTATTTACACAAACGTGATTTTATAAACCATACGTTGTGCGATTTTTGAAATAATGAGTGCGATAAGTCGCACGACTTTGTCGTGTAAATTTAAACTTTTGTTAATTTAATTTTGTGCGTGTATATAAATACGTGTGACATTATTGCACAACAAAGCTGCGTATGTGCAAATATACTTCAGGGAACATGATCAATGAAAGGCTTCAATCTGAGTATGGTCTATGGAGTGCCGAAGTGTGCCGCATATAACTCTAGTTCACGCTCATAGTTCAAATGTGTGAAACCATCAGCATGCGAAACAGCACGTGAACCTGAATGACAGCTGACATTAGACTTCAGTACTCTGCATAGCATTTGGACAGGTGAGCTTAAAGCTGTACGTCACTTTGATTTTTATTTGAGCAGCTTCAAAATCCAACGATTATTCATTTACGATGCTTAAGTCCAGGAACAAAAATGAAAAGTGCTCTTTTCAGGCAATTTTCATTAAGTGGCACGCAGCATTATGAATCCCTGAAAAAGGTTTGAAATCCTTACCGTGATTTTGCAGGTCCTGTATCTTTTCTCTGGTCCCTGGCAAGCTCCTCGTAAGCATCTTCTTTTCTGTAGTGACACTCCCCAGTCGCACTGTCTGGAGCAGTTTGTCCATTCTTCCCAACCTGACCACAGCGGTGATACTGCACTGGCAACCTGAGAAAAAATAAATAGAGAAAGCTCCTGCAATGAAACACACTTGTGACTTTTTACAGAATGATATCTCACTCTAAATGCCCGCATTTAATTATCAAAAAAATTAAGATGGCCTGACATTGCGATCTTAACAAGATCTTCTTCAGAGTGGCACATTGCAATAGGCTAGAAATTTTAAAAGCGACATCAGGATGCTGATTGAAGCAAAATCGGAACGGCGATATGGGCCTGTCAGAAAAATCGTGTGTCTGTTGGCAAATATGCAGGGATGAAGAGCGCCAGCTATTGTCTGGTAATGTCCATGATTGCCTGCTTTTAACAACACCCACTATGAAAAGATGGTGTGCGCAGCCCCCCCCCCCCCCTCCCCGGCTTTATTTGGTTTATTTTGAGGATGGTGGATGGCCGGGGGGGGGGGGGGGGGGAATCCTATCTACCTTTTACCACGGATAGTCTAGGCTTTTAATTTTTAAGCAAGAAGAAAATTATATTTTGCAACAGGAAAACAGAACCATGGTTTTCACAACGGGGATCACAACAGGTACCTTTGAGTAATGTGATGGTGAGATGGAATGTATTCTTGGTAAAAACAACTGTGTTTTTATGACTAAAATTTTGGATTTTAGGTAGTCATTCTGGTACCTTGGTTTTACATGCAAAATGTAATGTAAATTAGTTATCAACCATGACTTCCACTGATTCAGAGAAATGATCCAAAACTGGTCTGTAATTCCCATTACTAGGTGATGGATGTGTAAGATCTGAGAAGGGGGGGGGGCAGGCGGGCATGCGGGGGGCGACAGCCCCCCTATGAAACCTTGTCGCTCCCCCAGTCGCCCCCCCCCCCCACTGAGATTTTGGGTTTCTAAAAAAATTATCATTGATCTACATGACGCCCCCCCCCATGAAATGTTCCAGCCCCCCCAGCCCCCCCCCCCCCCCCCCCCCCCCCCACTGAAAAATTCCTGGCTACGCCACTGTTAGCATCTTAAGGTGAAAACAAAGACCTTGAATACTTTCAGACCATACAACGAACACCGCCATTTATAGAACAGATATTTCAACACTTTTCTAATGGAATGAAATGGAATACAGGGGTTTCAATGGAAACCCATAACCAATATTATTAACCATCTCTTGGGAAACTGCATCTTTTATGCACTTTTGTGAAGGCTTCAAATAACATACGTGATCACAAGGTCCAGGTGAGCGTGAAAAAAATTAAACTGTTGTCAAATATTTACTCTACTGTCAACTTGGTAGATGTGTCAACTATCATTAACCTTGTTCAGGAGACACTTGTGGCCCAACAAATGGCCTATATAAACCTATTCAAGACTATGTACACAGATGCCTATCGCTGCCAATATTTGACTAGGCCCATTGATGGTATACTGCCGGAGTCAAAATTGTTCTTCAAATTACGATAACAAAACATTTTGGACATTGGTAAATGTCAACAAATGACCCCGTTTCCGGCAGTTAAATGCTATGCCAGAATCGTTGTGTTTAACATCATGAAGTCCCAGTATCAACCGTTATCCAACGGAGCCCTCTCCGTATCCAACGTCTGATGCATCTGAGCAATACAAGTTGTATGCGACTCTGTGCACCAGCCAATCGGAGTTAACTTTAAAAATTATGGCCGTTTCCATCAGAAATATGGACTAAGCTGTTGATTGGTCAATTTAGCTGACATGTTTTTGTAAACAACAACAGGTTATGGAGGACCCGATAGAAGGCACCCACTGAACGGTCAGAATCTCAAGGTCAAGACGTGGTCTTGTTTTGCATAATTAATCGCTGAATCTGCTTGCATTATTGCTGGAACTAATTACCATTTTAAAGAATATTTTGGGCTTCATAATAAATGTGGATCCGGAAACTAATTAAGCCAAATTGCAACTAAACAAGTGAAGTACATGCACATTCAGTCTTCGACATACACTGTCCAACATAACAACTAGAGCTGTCTATTTTCACACAATATAGTATTTGAGTACTCTGACCGAATATTCAGATATTCGATACTGCCAGCTGCAACTGCGTGCTGCAACAGTAAAAACTTGCACAAAAGAGTGTGCCAGTTAAAATTTGCATGCGGCGATTGATATGTGGCACTGGAGTGTTTCACAGTAAATATTTTATAACCGTAAAAGAACTTTAACCTGATAAAAGGATGTGAACAATGAACAGCCATCGACTAAAAAGTTACAGTTGGCGAAAAAAGTTGTTTACGATATAATAACATCACAGTCGATTAGCATGTGTATAGTTTTTTTTCAACGAATATTCAAACCCAGAAAAAGCTATTCGAATATTCGGTTGATGATCCAATATTTCACTATTCGGTATATTTTTGGGACAGCCCTAATAACAACAGGCTATAAAACTGAATTCCTGAACTAACAAATCTTACTGACAATTCAGTAATTGGCCTGTGAGTCGTTTACGCATGTGGAGTCATATGTCAAATAAAACCAAAAACCCCAAAAGACCAACCAAGAACACTATAGCATCATTACATTATAATAGATTTCTTCTCAATACCCTGTGTTTTAACAACCTTTATTATGGCTACTGAATAATTTGACTCAACACTTTCCCAGGGACAATATTCAAAGAGTGCAGTTGTTACGAGGACAGTCCTTATTTTATGAACTGCAAAACAAGGACAGCACAATATCTAGTACCCATCTAATCCAACTCTGTCTGGAATGAGAAAACCTTGCTCAATGACTGGGATCTGCAAACAAGATAAAGATTCACCTTGGAGAACAAAAACTGCCACAGAATAATACTTCAAAAAGACATACAAACCATCTGGCTTCTGGATTGAAGTAGGGATGATACTTTTGAGGTACCCTAAAAGGGCTAGGAGTAGCGAAGCCGTTTTCAGCATCCATAACAAATTCTGAAAATTAAGTTAACCATTGATAATTCCATACCCTTGTGCCCTTAATCTCTGATCGATATATACAAACACCTTTGTAAGATTTAGACTGATATCTAGCAGACATGTAGACACCAATTTTGCAAAAGAAGATGGTTGTAGACTCAATTAGTAAGGCTTTTTGCAAAAGACTTGGTAAGGCCCAAAAACAAGGTCTCTGGTTTCTGGTATGGAGCTTGCCCCAACAGCGCAGCGACGCGGTTTTTTTCCCCCACTACTTTTTTCTTTTCTTTAAATGTCGGCTGATATTCCAGAATATGCTTCGATCCCCTTACAACTCTCAAAAATCATACTTCAGAGTGGAGCTTGAGGTGACCTCAGTAAGGCCATAAGGCTTGAGAATTCTGCACCCACTTACTATCTCGACCGACACGAATACTCTTCGGGAAATTGGGATAGTCAAGAGAATAATCAGAGAAAACGGTAACGTTTATTTTTGCATTTCTAAGATCAGAACCCCGCCCTCCCCCCCCCCCCCCATCCTACCATGGGCTGTGCTGTGGCAGGTCCCAGTCTTGGCAGAATGGCAACTGTGCCCCGTACAGCTCATGAGTACATTCCAGACAGGAGGATAGGCCCCCAGCAATTCTGGAAAGCCTCTTTGAGTGGTCCTCCAACAAGCACTTTCAGGCAAAGTGAACTCTTGTTTGTCTTAGAAAACTTGTTTTGTGTTTCCTGGCCATCCATCAGTCTTTTGAGTGGCCAGTGTTGAATTCAAAGAGAGCCGGAGGACCTCTCATTGGTTGGATTGGGGTGAAGTGGGCCCAGAGGGGGTAAAGGGGGCACTCACAGGGGTGTAACAATTGGGAAGAATACTCATATGAAATGGATACCCAGGACTGCCCAGAGTATGTGGGTATGTGTACATTGTTCTTTTTGGCAGGTAGTGGGTACACTGTATATCAAAACACTGTGCTGAAGTGTTTTACTAACGGTGTACATTTAACCAAAACAGTGAGGTGAAGTAGTTTGTGCAACTTGGGATTGCATACAGCAGGTAAAGTTACATGAATGGACAGCTTTAGGCGACTAAAAGTTATCGGGGTACCAATGGATTTTCTTTTACAGGAGCTGAATGTTTTAAAAAGGAACATATTTTGTAAGAAATCTCAAAAACAAATAACTAACTAGTCTAGAGGGAATAATAAGGGCATACTACGTGTACCATCTGCCAATGACAATGTTATTCCATGTCTCTTCAATTAAATGTATGGACCAAAAGAAGAGGGGTGAACATTGAATAACCATTCTAAATCTATTAAATAGGATTGTGTATACTCTGGGACCAGGTTTACTAGGGTTGCCTTATTATATTGTTTTTAAATAAGAATATCAAATTATGTGTTTGTAATTCTCAAGAAACAATAAGGCATCTATCTACAATTCGTCAATTATAACTACGGCCTCTTTTTGACAAATTACCATTCTGAACTGATGAAATTACAATATATTCAAGACTCATGATCAATACAACTAAAACAATTGAAAAAGTAAACACAATTTCAAAAACCATACACTGCAGATACCTAATATAGTACATGTGGTCTAGTTTGAGTTATCAAGTGACTTCATCAAGTACAAACAGATGTAATATTGTCATCATTTTCAAAAAGGGAGCTTTTCTAAATTATGCAGTACACAACACCGTCCAACCATGGAGGAATGGTCCAACTCACATGAAAACAGTAATTATGTGATACCCATGGCCAAGGGCGGATCCAGGGGGGGGCCAAAGGGGGCCATGGCCCCCCCCAAAACGAGATCAATTTTTTTTTTTTTTTATGTGACATCGCAATAACGGCAGGCAATGAGTACACCACCATCTTTTCCTCAAAAAAAAAACATTGGTTAAAGTGGTCAGAAATTGCCTCAGATCGCACCACAGAGCATCTAGAATCCAAAATTTTTTCGGGGCCCTTAAGCGGGCCCCGAACCCCACGCCGTAATTTTTTTGACCCACTTTTTGACATCGCAATAAAGGCAGGCAATGAGTACACCACCATCTTTTCCTCAAAAAAAACATTGGTTAAAGTGGTCAGAAATCGCC